CGAGTTCAAAGCCAGCCTCAGCAATGTCGAGGCACTGAGCAATTCAGTGAGACCCTGTCTCTACATAAAGTACAAACTGGGGATGGGGCTCCGTGGGTGAGTGCCCCTGGGTTCAATCCCTAGTAGGCCCCCTCAAAAAAGAAATGAAAGTGGGGACAGTACTGCTGATTCCACAGAATAAAAAAGACCATCAGAACAACTGTACAACAACACATAGGATGATCCAGATGAAATGCAAGAACTTCTAGAAACACAAAAGCTAAAAAGACTAGTCATGAAGAAACAGGAAGTCCAAACAGACCTGTAAGTGTAAAGGGATGGACTCACAATCAAAATCTTCCAACAAAGGACAGCCCTGGACAGGGCGGCTTCAGAGGTGAATTCTCTGATACACTTAAAGAAGTAACACCAACCCTTCTCACCTTTTTCAATAAGTTAAGAGGATGGGATGCTTCCTAATTCATTCTGTGAGACCTTCATTACCTAATATCAAAGCCAGACAGATACCACAAGCCAATTCTAGACCGATACCTCTTAGAGCATTGGTGCAGAGGCCCTAAGAAAACACCAGCAAGCTGCATTCAACAGCACACTGAAGGGCTCAGACCCCTTGACCAAGTGGGACTCATTTCTGGAGTGCAAGGATGGTTCAATACATGAAAACTGATCAGTTCTAACACATTAACAGAATGAAAGGGGAAAAAACACACATGATCATTGTAATTGGTGCAGAGAAAGCGTTTGACAAAATTCAACCCGTTTTCAGGACAAAACCACCCAACAAACTAGAAATGGAAAGAAATTTCCTCAGTCTGACAAATGTCATTTATGAAAAACCCACAGCAAACATCATACTCAATGGTGAAAGGGTGGAAGGAAAAGAATGCCTGCTTCCACATATTCTATTTAACACAGAAGTGGGAGTCCCTGCCAGAGCAATTAGGCAAGAAAAAGAAATATATTGCACCCAAATTGGAAAGGAAGAGTAAAATTATCTTGCAGGTGATACAATTATTTTGCAGGTGATAAATTTTATAAACAAAAAACTGTAGATATGCTGCCAGACAATCTGTTAGGACTAAAAAATAGATGAAGCAAATGGCAGCAGCATCTTCTCTACGATACAGGCCAAGTGCCAGATGGTGCTGTGGCCTGGCCCTCCCCATCCAGTGTGATGGGATGTGATTCTGTCCCATGTGTTGGGGTAAACAGATCCAGCTGCTGGTGGGAGACTCATGCTGGTGCCTTGGCCAGTGGAGCAAGGGGTCATTATGGAAGAAAGAGCACGCAGGAGTCCATGAAACTTCCTGCTCCGTCTCCGAAGCAAACCAGGTCGCTAGTATTTTGTTTCCTGGAGGAACTGCATCCATTAATACCAACATGGAACGTAGGGAAGCAGGAGCAGTCTCCAAAGCATCACCATTCCACTCGCTTGTCTGGCCTTTGCATAAGCAAATTAACAAAGACAGAAGAGGATGCACTCCAGGAAGCTGAACAGGCGAGGCACTCAGGAGTACTGCCCGCTGGCTGTGGTCTCTTTACTGCAGCAGGTCGACAGTTCCTGGCACTTGGTAGGCAGATGCAAAACCAGTCGCCCTCAATGGCAAAGACTGCAGTGCACCCTCACCCTCCTACCCAAGGCCAGGGCTACTCTCTGAGCCTCTGTCTTAATATACTCATAAAGACCAGGTAGGCAGAACAATGCCCCCTTCCCAAGATGTCCACACTATTTCCTGGAACCTCTGAGAGTACAGGGGAAAGGGGAGTTAAGGTCCCTGATGAAATAAGGTCACTAATTGGCTGACCTTAAAATGGGGAGATGGTAGTGGTGCACGGCCAGCTACTCCCACAGACTCAGGAGGCTGAGGCAGGAGGACTGCAAATTCGAGGACAGCCTGCAACTTAGTGAGACCCTGCATCCTAATAAAAAACAAAAGGGCCTCGGCTGTAGCCCAGGGGCAGAATGCTGACCTGCATGAGAACCTGTGTTCAACCTGAATACCAACAAAGAGAGAAAGAGACTGGTCGGGGGTCCTCCATCACCACCTAGATCCAGTGCCACCGCAGGTGGAAGAGGCCGAGGGAGGCGGAAAGGGCGAGCCAGAGGAAGGAGATGAGACGGGGACAGTCGCTGACTCTCGAGAAAAAGGGGCCTCAAGCCTGGGGGCATGTCAAGAAGCTGGAAGGGGGCACACAACAGATTCTGCTTCAGCCTCGCCAGGTAAGAGCACGCCCTGCTGCTCCCTCGCTGGAGCCCAGGAGGTACTCAGTGTGGTGGTGGTGGTGGTGGTGGTGCTGTTTTGGTGCCGGGGATTGAACCCAGGGGCACTCGGCCACTGAGCCACAACCCAGCCCTAGTTTGTATTTTATTTAGAGACAGGGTCTCGCTGAGTTGCTAAGGGCCTTGCTTAGTTGCCGAAGCTGCTTTGAACTCGTGATCCTCCTGCCTCAGCCTCCTGAGCCGACAGGATCCTAGGGGTGGGCCACAGCGCCCGGCTCAGTGTGCACTGTTGTAAGACCTAGGTTCTCAGTAATCACTGCAGCAAGGAAGAAGGACACGGACAGGGTCATCTTAACACTCTGCTGGCCCAGGTAGAGGCTGCAAGGCTGGGTCTGGGTTTGCCTGGACATCCTAAGGTGAGGCATACATCACTGCACCTAGTGCCTCCATTCAGCAAGGAGGGCCCAGTGCTCAGCAGCTCCCAGGACCTCAGAGGCACACTGTCCCTTCAGGAGACGCTGCGCTGGTCCACACACTGAGAGGCCTGGGAGGGCTTCTGGGGAAACAGAGGTCAGCTGAGGCGTGACTGCCAGCCTGCATGGACCTCACACTCACAGACGCAGCCTTCGAGGGTGTGGGAGGGAAGGGTGCCGCGCAGGCCCCTGGGCCACTTCACAAGCTGGCTTTCTGCTTCACGGTCCTGGCATCGAGGACACAGCAGAGTGCATGTGGCCAAGGGTGGCGAGGGGCAGGCTGGATGGGGTGAACAAAGCACACAGCGCACACATGTCCACCACAGTCCTCTGGGGGCAGAGGACGACGAGCAAAGGGTTGGGCAGGGTACCCAGTCACCCCCGGCACCAGCACCAATCCAGCTGCACTGCCACCATTGGCAGCCCCTGTGCCAGAAGGTCCCGAGGCCAGTAGTGAGGGGCAGACCCAGTGGGTCCCTGGCCACCCACTTGCCGTGGATAGGAAGACAGAGTGGGCACTGGCACAGACAGAGCTAGCTCATCAGGACCCTCAGATGGACAAGTCCAGCCAGCAGGGATGCAGAGGTCTGAGGAAGGTGTGGCCTGGGCCCCCCGAGGCAGAGAGTGCCACCACAGCAGGTACCTGACAACCTGGTGGACATCACAACTGTCTTGCAGATGCTGGCCAGCAGGCCCCTAAGGGAGAGGCTACAGTGACAAGAAGGGAGTCTGTGTGGCCCAGCAATACCAGCCCAGGATAGACACTGTCCTGTGGAGTGAATTCTCCTCACCAGGTCATCTGCTCTGGCTGAGAGTCCAGCAGAGGGTCAGAAAGCTGGAAAGACTGGGACAGCAACAGGGCAGGGAGAGGTGTGCTCCCACAGCCTCTAGGACAGTCCCAGAGTGGAAACTCACTGTGTGGTGGTGGCCACCAGTCCCTTATGCAAAGGACACAAGGACTCACTCCCACAGTGCATGAGCCTGGGACCACCACCACAGGGTGGCGCCTACAGGTGCCCTCAACTTCAGTGCAGACTAAGCCTGCACCAGAGATGGGGCAGCTCCAAGCAGTGCCTTCCACTGTGAAGGAGCAGCCTCACTCCAGCCAAACTGGACACCTTACTGGACGTACTTACAGGTTCCTCAGACACGCACAGCCCCAGCACCCCAACAGCACTTCTCTGAGCTGGGACCCACGATCCAGCAACAAGAGCCGGCCAGCGAACTGGGTTTATAGGTGGTGTCCTGGTTCATGCCCTGTAGAGCAGCTGGCCTTCGTGCAGGATGGGGTCAGCCCTCTAGGGCCCACTTCCCAGGACAGAGAGCAGAATGGGGACATCCAAGCCTCCCTCCTCTGTCCCCAAGAACAGGCCCTGACAGTGGCTTTCTCACTGGGACGTGGAAACAACTGGTGACTGCAGCATTGACACAGCTGCGGTGCTGGCCCTGCTGAGCACACTGCCCTGGGGCCAGCCTGGCCTGCGCTCTGCTACCTAGCATTCTGCCTGCCTTCAAGCACAATCTCCAGCTCAGGGCATTCTCCCAACTCATCTGTCTCCACCACGCACTGTCCACATGGGTCAGTCCGTCAGGCATAGGCAATTATCATAAAACAGCATCAGTCCTCACAGGCCTTCTCTGGCCCCCGTGTCCTTTTTCAGGGATGGTGTAGGGTGCCTTTGTGGGATGGGAGAGCCACTTGCTTCCTCTCCTCTGAGGATTCTACTAAAAGAAGCAAAGTGGGAGGCAGTGCCCCATGAGAGCAGCTGGGAGCCCAGGGAGGGAGAACAGGGAACGCAGGGAGCCCCCTGGTGGCGGGGCGCCATCCCCGGGGACCAATCTGGGACCAGAGGTGGAGAAGTTGTTTTTGATGCACTGGCGAGCTTCAGGACACCCAGGAGGGGGCTTGGCGGCAGCTGAATGCAGGGTTGGGGCGCAAGCGCAGAAGTCTGAGCTGAAGGTGAGCCGGAGAAGGAGGGGCGGGGTGAGCAGGCCCAGGGCAGGAGCCCTGGGAGAATGCGCGGGCCCAGAGGGGAGCACCCTTTCCTGCCAGCGACACACGCAGATCAGGTGACGCCCAACCACCAGGAAGGCAGGAGAAGTGGAGGGACAGGGCGTCCCTGACAGGCCACTCAGGCAGGAGGAACAGGAGGGGCTTGCAGTGCTGCACGCGTGAAAACACAAGTCCTCGCGAATACCGGCACATGCGCACTTGCGCATTCGCCCATACCATGCCTGCCTGCCCAGGGAAGCCCCCTTCCTGCCTGCCCTCTGAGAGGACGCGGATAAGTGGGGTAGGCGCTCACCTGCAGGGGCCTCAAGGATCTCCTGGGGTGTGGGCCCCCTCGGCTCTCGGCCTGTCTTCCTCTGCTACTGGCTGTTCTCTCCTCGTCTCCCTGGGGAAAGCTGCAGTCAGGGTGGTCTGGGTTTGAAATGTCCCCCAACACCCATCAACCTCAGGAGATATTTATGATACCGGCATTTATGGGACACCAGCAGGGCTGCTGTGTCGCAGCTTGCAGGGAGCCACAGCGGAGGTAATGTCATTACTGAGACATTAATGAGCTGCCCCACAGCATCCTCCAACTGCAGAGCCTACCTGACTTGGGTCACCCTCAGGGCCAGCAGGCAGAGCTGCCCTGAACTTGGGATGGGAAGCCCAGGCCCTGTGAGTCCTGGGTGGGCATGGTGCAGCCTGGTTAGGACCACCATGCTGCTGGCCCTCTTGCAGTCTTGCTGCAGGCTGGTCCCTGCACCCATACTGTCCCCCACCCTGTGGTCAGATCAGGGTCCCTCTGTCTTCCAAGCCCTTCCCATCTCTGTCCAACTCATTGCTTCCAGGCAGGAACTCCTGTCTGCTTCTGAGCTTCTGGGCAGGGCTGAGCAGGAGGAGTGTGGTGCAGGGATGGGCCAGGCAAACCAGTCCAGCCAGTGTGGCGGGCTGCTTGGGGTGGGGCCTGGGGGGGGGTGTCAGCAGCACCCCTCTCCTGGCAGGGGAGACACTAAGGAGGCCATCTAAGGCCTCACCTTCCAACAGAAAGGCCAGTGTTGGAGCTGGCCCTGGACCCCACTGCCACCCGGGCGGTACCCATAGGCAGGACTCGTGACAGCTCCTGGGCTGTTTCAATAGGCAGGGGAGCTGGACTCCCAGTTAGGTCCCCACCTGCTCACAAGAGCAGACCAGGCTCTTCCTTTCTGCCCGTCTCAGTCCTCAAAACATTCTCTGGGCCTTTGAAGAACTGGTGTCTTCACCAACCCACAGGGCCGCTGGACACCACAACGCTCGGACAGTGGGACCCTGTTCCTCCACAGAACCCAGGGGAGCCCAAGCCCCAGAGGGGCTCCACTGAGCCTGCTACCCAGAAAGTGCTCAGGTGGGCTGGGACTTCACTGGGATGGTCTATGCCTGTGAGGGACTGAGTCCTAATGGTCAGTGTGGCCAGCACACAGCTTCTGGCCCTGTGGCTGGAATTTTAAGTTTCCCGCGACCAGGGGTGGGGCGGGGGAGCGTGAGGGGCCTGGGTGCCGCCCAGGCAGGACCAGGCAGGCCGCTGCGCACTGCGGTCTAGCTGCTGCGGCGCCTCCAGTTTCTCAGTCTCCCTCCCAGTCTGGCCAACAAGGCCTGTGGCCCGTGTCAGCACGTTAGTCAGCTCCTCGGCCTGGGTGAGCCACTGTGCCGCCGAGTCCCTATAAACTCCTGGCGTGGCCCAGCCCTGCTGAGTGGGGCCTGTGAGGCCCTAGGCAGAGCCAGGAGCTGCGGTGCTACGGGTGCCGGCCAAGGGGCAGGGAAGGCACTTGGGACGGCAGGAGCCCAGGGCTGATCGTGGCGGGGGAGCAAGCAGCCCACCGTGGCCTCTGGATGCCCCCTGAGCTGCCGTACTGAGGCAACCAGTGGATGAGCAGGCCCTCCCCTGGGGAGCAGACACCTGGGGAAAGAGGCCCGGGATCCAGGGCCATGTCTGGGAAGCGAGGTCGAGCTCGCAAGCCCCGAGGCAGGAAGGCAGGCAGGGCCCCACAGGCCACCAAGCAGCAGGGCCCCGGGGCTGAGCCCCCGCCCCCCGCTACAGGGGGCCCTTGGGACCAGGCCAGGGTGGCCTCTACAGGGCACGTGACCAGCACACAGCTGGCTTCTCAGGGACACCCCAGGGCAGCCAGGACAGAGCAGCCAGAGGCAGCCTGGAGGCCAGTGCAGGCCGCTGCTGCGGGGTCTGAGCTGGTGCTGGTCCTCCCTGAGCACATGGAGGGCCATGAAGCAGGGGGCCCCATGCCGGCCCTGGGCCCCGAACTGCTAAGGCTCCATGAAGTCCAGCTGTGCCTGGCCCAGGAGCAGCTGCTGCTGGAGGATCGGCGGCGACAGGTCCAGCTGCAGATGCAGCTGTGGCAGGAGGAGCAGCTGTGGCTGCAGCAGCTGCAGGAGGAGCAGGCCTGGGTGCACATGGAGGGGCTGCAGCTGGCCGTGGCCCTGGAGCAGCTCCGGAGTGAGGGCCTGGAGGTACTGCAGACCCAAGGCCAGGTAAGGCCTGGAGAGGGTGTGGGGAGGGGCCCAGGACAGCCTGTGGGCATGGTGGTCACTGCATCCGACAGATCTGTGAGGGCCCAGAGGCCAGGTTGGCTGAGGAGCTCTGTGGGCTGTGTTCATATTTGCCAAAGGAAGCTGGCAGGGCCGCACAGGGCCTTGCCAAGACCAAGGACGCAGTCCACCTAGGTTTCCCAGTGCTAGTGGGCAGAAGCTGCCAAGGGAGGGCACTTGGTCAGCAACAAAGCTGTCCCTGCAGAGAACCCAGACATCCTAGGTCAGGGAGCCTGGGCAGTGGGCAGGCTGAGGCATACACAGCCTAGGTGGGCTTGCTCTCCAGGCAGCAGAGTGAGGAGCATGCTCCCCTACCCCCAGCCCCTGTTTCCTAGACAGCTTCCCTGTCCCGCCCCCTGTTTGCTGCAGTGCAGTACCAGGGCCTGAGATCACAGAGGCAGCACGCCGTCCCTGTGCCCATTATCCTCATTCCAGGAGGAGTGTCCGCCTCAGACGCAGCTGGGGCTATTTTAGGTAACTAGGATCTAAACCTGGCTTGGGTTGGAGGAGTCACCACCACCCCTCCAGATCCTGGGCAATGGAGTTCTCTGGGCCGGGCCCAGCTCAAGCTGTAGAGCCCCATGTGGGGTGGGTCCGTGCTCTCTCAGCAAGCACAGACCCCAGGCAGGCCTGGGAGCAGAGAGCCAAGAGATGCCACCTGGGAGGTATTAGCAGCAGTGACAGAGAGTGAATGGCACTTAGAGCAGGGGTGATAACTGCTGAAGTAGGGTGGGCACGGGGAGGTCCCTTTCCTGATGCTCAGCAGGAGCTAGCCCAGGTGAGCTGTCCCTTTCCAGCCACAGAAGAGCAATTATTGAACTTAACCTAAGAATTCCCAACTTGGAGCCAAGACCTTTCTCAAAGCTGGCTGTTTTGTTTCAGTCGTGTTGAGGATTGAACCCAGGAGCATCCTACCTTTGAGCAGTATCCCCAACCTTTTGTTTATTTGAGACAGGGTCTCACTAAGTCGCTGAGTCTGACCTTAAATTTGTGATCCTCCTGCCTCAGCCTCCCCAGTAGCTGTTATTACAGGTGTTGAGCCACCATGCCCAGCTCAAAACTGTTTTCAACAATGGGGGCCCTCTCACCCATGTGTGCCCCTTCCCATCGACATGGATTCTAAAGCTGTGCCCAGCCCTTACCACAGCCCCAAAGGTGCAAGGCTCAAGGCCAGGGGTTGGGGTGGCATCTGGGCTCTGAATGTGAGCATATCCATCCTAAGCCCCATTCAGAGATCCCTGGATACCACTCTCGGAGGGAAGGGCCTTCTTAGAGGGGGTCTCATGGCTGCAGAGGGTCATAGGTCAGTATTTGAGTGGCAGTGCCCTGGGGTCAAAGGGTGTACTCACCAACAGCAGCTCTTGGCTGGGGCCAAGGGGGTGATGTCTGCCACTTCCCTGATGCAGCTGTGGCCCCCCCTTTCTTACTGTTCATTCTCCTGGGAATGGGAAGAAAACACCCCGGGAGGGTATGATTAGAGGTGCAGCAGACGGGAGTAGTGGGGAACAGCATCACACCCCACATGGGTCTGGGTGGGCAGGCAGCAGAAACATGGACATTCTAGCACACTTCCCTGCCCATGGCTTACGGATGTATATTCCCAGTAGCTTGAGCAGGATGTGTGGCAGGAACACATCCCATCCACTCTCACGTGCCTGGCTTGGTCCATCCTGCTGGGACCCTGGGATTTAGTGGTCAGCACCCATCTCCCTGGTCCAAACCACTTGGCTGCCTAATGAACTCGTCTGAGGACCCCTCCACACAGACCTGGCACCCCTCACACCCGCGCCTCCCTACCCTTAGGCCCTCTCTTATCTTGGCTCCCACAGACGCTGTGGTCGGGCCCACCAGGCTCACCCCACAGCTCATTCCCCGGGGAGGCTCCTTGCCTGGGAGTTCACCAAGCTCCCCTCACACACAAGGGACTCGCGCAGTGCCACTGCCCAGAGCTGGTCTGACCCCACAGGAGTTCCAGCACACCAGTGGGATGCTGTGGATGGGAAAGGAAATGGAGAAACTGGGGGTGACCCTGAAAACAGGATGGTCACTAGAAGACAAAAAGCAGGGGTGACTGAAGGCCGGCAGGCAGAAAGGACTCAGGCTGGATGTCAGGGAGTGAGCCCCTGGGTCGGGAATGGTAGGACAGATGGGCTGGGCTGAAGTGGGGGAGGACCCTATAGGAGGGTCTGAGGGAGAACTGAGCCTCCTGTGTGCAAGCTAGAGGTGGTATGTGTACCCTCGATGTGCATAAGGTCCCCATTCCTTGTAGGAGGTTGGGACTTAGAGGGCCCCCAGTACATGAGAGACTCTTGTTGCACATGTAGGGCCAAGTGCATGTGAGGGGAGGTTCCCTGTGCTTTCAGAATTGGTGTATGAGCAGTCATGAGGTCCTGTTTATGTGTGGGGTGGGTCCCTATATGTATGGGAGGGGTGTGGTACATAGTCCTGGTGAGTGGACAGCATGTGTGAGGTTTGGTGTGCTTGTAAGATTCTGTGCACATGAGGGATATCCTGTGCTTGTGGAGTCAGAGTGCAAGGGGGGACCCAGTATGCATGTGGGGTCCCATATGTGCAGGGGTCTGTGGGTGCAGGGTCCGCTACATGTTTCGGCATCCACTATGCCTGGGGATAATGAGAGGGGACCGCCCCCGACTGGTGGGGACACCCGTATGCACGGGGTCCCCAGGTCCGGCCCCGCCAGGGCTCGGCGCCGCCCCCACGGCCTCACCTGCCTCACCTGCCTTTCTCCGAGCCCCGAGGCCAGAAGCCCCGCCCCCCGCGTCGGGCCCGCCTGTTTCCTAGCGACTGAGCCGGAACTTCCGAGTCACCCGGACTTCCGGGGCGAGGGTCAGGGGTCAGAAGTAGGGGCTTCGAGACTTGGCTCACAGATGGGCAGCAGGGGGCTCGGGGACCTTGGAGTGGGCGCCCTGATGGTCTCGGGCGGCGCTCTGCAGGGTCCCGGGCGCGGCTCGGGGCCCGGGCGGGCCGGGGTCGGGGGGGTGGGGGCGCGGGTGGGGGTCGGGGGCGCGAGGTGGGGGCGGGGGTCCTGGCGGGGGTCCGGGCGCGGCGGGCGCAGGAATGCGGGCGCGCCGCGGGCGGAGCCGCCCCGCCCAGGTGCTGCCCGGGCAGGCAGGAGGCAGGAGCGCGGGCGGGGCGGGGGCGGGCGCGTGAATCAGGCCGGGCGGGCGCGCCGGGGAGTGGCTGCCGGACCGACCGGACCGCGAGGCCGCTGGGCGGCGGTCGGCTCCTGCTGCCCCTGTGCCGAGACCCCGCGCACCTGGCCAGGTAGGACCCCCTCCCGGGCCGGAGCGGGCGGGCGCGGAGCGCCGAAGAGTTCGGGGCTCTGCGCGCCCTCACCTGGGCTGGCGCAGTGTGCGCGGCCGCGTGCGTGGGGCTGGCCGGGCCTGGCCTGCGGGGCCCGGCGGGGGACGAAGGGCCGGGACGCTGTAGGTTTCTGGGTGAGACGCCCCCTACGACGCCGGCCCAGGAGGAGCCCAGAGCGAAAGGGTCCGGGCCCCTGCTAGAGACCCGGCGTCTGACCGGCTCCTGCCTTCGCGGCCCGTACTCTTCCTGGGAGCCGTCCTCCAAGGCTGCCATGGACTGGGGTGGTGTACTGGGCAGGTAGAGCGGGAGGCCTGTGCCGCTTGAGCCCATGTACCTGGACTGGAGTGAGCAGATGAGGCACCTGGCCTGGACAGCCGCTAACTTGCTTCCTGGGGTACGTGACACCCTTAGGTCCTGCTGTGCCCACTCCGCAAGCTATAACTCATGGACTTCCGGTCTGTGAGCCCATCCAGCCAAGGTCCACCTCCCGGCTTCCTGATCCTGCCCCTTCCCTTGCCTCAGTCTTTGACCACTGGTTATCTCACTTTGTGTAGGAGCCCAGATCCTTCCCAGGGAATCTCTCTTCCTGCCCAGGTAGGAAGGATCGGGTCCTTGAAGTGGAGGTGAGGGCCTTTAAGGCTCTTTCAGGCTTCAGGTCAGAGGTCAGCCGCAGAGGATTCCTGCTGAGTCATTGGTCTGGGTGGGCTAGGCCCCTTCCTCCCTCGGGGCCCAGGTGGGTAGGTAAATGGGGAGAAGCAGGCTGATGGGGCTTCACTGAGGAATGGGGAGTGGCCATTTCCCAGTCCACAGTCCAGGGGGATTCGTGCCCTTTAAAGAAACAGGCCAGGGGTAAGGTGATTGGAGGTGGTAAGCATTGCTGTGAGGCCAGGCTCCCGCGGGTGGGGGATGGCCAGGCAGGATGGGGACTCCCCTTCAAACCAGTAGTGCCTGTGGGAAGGCTCCTCACCAGAGGTCACAAACTGGACACTTGTCCTCCCCACTCCCGATGAATCTGTTCCCTTCCCCAGTGAAATCTGAAGGAACAGCAGTGGCCCTTCCAGCGTGTCTTCCCCACGCCTCCCCAAATAGCAGGCCGGTGCCTCTAGGCCTGTCCAGTCAGACACTGCCCACATACAGCCTGACCAGATAGTGGTAAATTGTTGGTCCTGCCACAATGGTCAGATGCAGTGAGGCCCGTCCAGGCAGACAGGCCAACACTCAACTCACAGGTGGGCTGCCAGGCCTGCTGCTGCACCACAGGACTGCGCCCCACCCCGCACATCAAGCATGAAGGGAGACTGTGTGGTCAGGGCAGTGCCCCAAGAAGGAAGAACAGTTTTTCCTGGGACAAGTGGGCCAGGTGGCATTCCCCGGCAGTTATAGGAGTGTCCCCACCTCAGCTCTGTGTCACATTCTGTCTTAGAATGTCACCCCCAGGAACACCAGGTGGCACAGGTCCCAGGGTATGCATAGCAGAGCCTGACCCCAACATTCTCAGGCAGGTATGGCTTCCAACCCAGTGTAGGCCAGGGCCCCATCCTGACAGCACTCCTGGCCACACCTTGGGGTACACTCTTCCCCCTAGGCAGAGCCACTTCCCCATCTGGGACTGGCATCCAGTAACCTGTGTGCTAAGCAGAGCAGGAGTCTGCCCCATCCCCGAACAGGAGCAGTGGGGACAGGGTGAGCGGTTCTGGGTGCTCCCACAGGCCTAGAGGCCACAGTCTCTAAGTATGTTCAGTGGTCATGCTGGTCAGCATCCTAGAGGCCAGCCACCAAGCGGGGAGATGTGAAGGGCATGAGACTGAGCCATGGAAAAGGCTGATACCATTCTTAGTCTCTTAGTGAGCAGGAGGAAGACAGTGACCTAAGGAATTGGAAAGGTCCCAACTGCCATGGGGCTGGGCTAGGCAAGGACAGGCCCTATAGCAAAGGGCTGTGGTCCAGGGAGGTTTCATCCAAGATGAGACAGTGGCAACAGGTGGGGATGCTGGCAAGCAGGAACCAATCCCAGGGGTCAGAGCACTGGGAAGTCAGTGAAAGGGTGGTGGGAGTCCTGGTGAAACCCTAAGGATGGGAAGAGGTGTGGCCCTGGGCAGTGGGTGGGGCCTAGGGCTATGCCATCCCAGGATGAAGTCACAGCCTGGTATGTCCCGTCAACCCTCCTGGCTGTGCTGTATGGTGGAGGTGATGGCTGGAGAGGCACAGCGGCTAGTCTGGGGTCTCCCAGGCAGCAGGCACAGCACTGCCTCGACCAGTGGGCACGGCGCTAGGGACCACAGCAATATGAAGGGGCTGCTGATAGTGAGTCCAGCAAGGGTTGTGTTTGTCTTTGAACCAGCCATCAAACTGTTAGAATCTGTTTTTATGGGAAAGGGCTCATGAGAGTAGGACCCCTATCAATAAGGGCAGAAGAAGGGGAACAGGGCTGGGATTCCTGTGACATGCCTGGCACTTCTGATGTCCTTCCAACTAGGGGGCATCCTAGGCCTGGGGAGGCCTCCAGGTATGGGCTGAACTCCAGTCCACTGAAGTCTCTGGAAACCCTGTGTGAGGGTAAAGGAGCAGGCCCCAGTGCCCCTGCCCCTCATTAAGGTGTCTCCTCTCCAGGCCCCTGGCCCCAACATGGCTCGCCGCTCTCAGAGTTCCTCGCAGGGGGATAACCCACTGGCGCCTGGGTACCTGCCACCTCACTACAAAGAGTACTACCGCCTGGCGGTGGATGCGTTGGCAGAGGGTGGACCAGAAGCCTATAACCGCTTCCTGGCTACAGAGGGGGCACCCGACTTCCTGTGTCCTGAGGAGCTAGAGCATGTGAACCGCCACCTACAGCCCCCACAGCATGCTGCCCGGGAGCCCCCTGAAGGCAGCCCTCCTGATGTGGACATGGATGGCTCCTCAGGCACATACTGGCCAGTGAACTCAGACCAGGCAGTTCCTGAGCTTGACCTGGGCTGGCCCCTGACCTTCGGCTTCCAGGGCACTGAAGTCACCACGCTAGTGCAGCCGCCGCCACCTGATAGCCCCAGCATCAAGGATGAGGCTCGAAGGATGATCCGCTCTGCCCAGCAGGTGCACGGTCGCAGGCTCTGTGGGCAGTGGGGGAGGGTGGCCTGGGCTGGACCTGGAAGCATAAGGAGGAGGGAGAGGGGGTGGAGAAACAACCAGCACCAGCACGGAGGCAAGCCAGGACTGCCAGCTGGGCCTTCCAGGCTTCAAGCTGCAGCAGGGGCTTCCTGGCAGGTTCTTCCAGGTCACTGAGGGTTGGGCCAAGACAGGGTCTGCACAGGGTGGCTGGTGGTTGATGTCCAGACGCCCAGAGGCTCTGGGATGTTGGTTCTCTCCTAGCATGGATTTGTCCCAAGAATTTTCTAGACTTGCCTGATGGGCTTTGGCCAGCTCAAAGCTTCCTCCCCTCCCAAGCAGATGGTGAACAGCAGAGATGGCCTGTTAAACCAGGGTCAGCTGCTAAAGACCCCTGTTCTCCTCCCATCCCAGGGCAGTGCCCCCTTCCTGAGAACAGACCTGGAGCCTGGGCCTCAGCCCTGACATCCAGTCTGGGGTTAGCACGGAAGAGATTGCAGGGGCTCCCCTTGACCCAAGCAGGATGCAGGCCTTGTCCCTGCCTCTGCTCCCATGTGGGCCACCCACTCTACTAGCAGCCCCATGACCCCTGTCAGGTCCCTTCCTCCTGACCACCTTCCCAGACATGGCTGCTAGGGAATGGGGTTCACATGGTTCATAGCTCTCCCTTCTCCTGGGTAAGTTGAAGAATGGGGTGGGGACAACAGATTCCACCCTCCCTCCTGACTTGGTGCTTGCAGGTGGTGGCCGTGGTGATGGACATGTTCACTGATGTGGACTTGCTCAGCGAAGTGCTGGAGGCTGCTGCACGCAGGGTCCCCGTCTATATCCTGCTGGATGACATGAATGCACAACACTTTCTGGACATGGCGGAAAAATGCCGAGTCAACCTGCACCACGTGGATGTGAGTGAGTGGACAGGTGGGGTGGACCGGGAAAGACCCTGGTGAAGACCTGACTCCCCTCCCTCCTCAGTTCCTGCGTGTGCGCACTGTGGCTGGCCCCACCTATTATTGCCGCACTGGGAAGTCTTTCAAGGGCCACGTGAAAGAGAAGTTCCTGCTTGTAGACTGTGCCGTGGTGATGAGCGGGAGCTACAGGTGTGCGGTGTGCCCAGCTGGGTGTCGGTCCCTACCCCTCCCCTCTCTGGAGCCTCCCTGGGTGTCCCCGCCCCTCCTCACCAGGAGCACTCCTGTAGACCCTGATAGCCTGGCCTGGCCCAGGTCCTAACACACCCTGGGACTCTGTGTGTCCCACCCAGCGCTGCAGGCCAGTGCTCCCTCACTCCGTTCTTGACTCTGACCCCCACCCACTCACCCACAGCTTCATGTGGTCCTTCGAGAAGATCCACCGCAGCCTGGCACACGTGTTCCAGGGAGAGCTGGTCTCCAGCTTCGACGAAGAGTTCCGCATCCTCTTCGCACAGTCTGAGCCCTTGGTGCCCTCAGCTGGGGCGCTGGCCCGCATGGACACTTATGCCTTGGCTCCATACTCCGGGGCGGGGCCCCTGGTGGGCATCCCTGGGGCGCCCACCCCTTTCTCCTTCCCTAAACGGGCACACCTGCTGTTCCCTCCGCCCCGCGAAGAAGGCCTGGGTTTCCCCTCCTTCCTGGACCCAGATCGCCACTTCCTTTCGACCTTCCGCAGGGAGGAGCTGCCCCGGGTGCCCGGGGGCGCTCTGGAGCCGCATGCAGGGATGCGGCCACTGTCGCGACGGCTGGACACGGAAGTAGGGCCCAGCGGGGAGTTCGGGGGCCCACGGGGCTTCCTCCAGGCGCGGCACCTGGAGATGGACGCCTTCAAGCGGCACAGCTACGCCGCGGCCGACGGCGCAGGCGCTGTGGAGAACTTCGCGGCTGCGCGGCAGGTGTCCCGACAGACGTTCCTCAGCCACGGGGACGACTTCCGCTTCCAGACCAGCCACTTCCACCGGGACCAACTCTACCAGCAGCATTACCAGTGGGAGCCACAGTTCGCACCCACACGTCCGCAGGGCCTGTTCGAGAAGCTTCGCGCCGGCCGCCCGGGCTTGGCTGACCCCGACGACTTGGCGCTGGGCGCTGGGCCGCGCGTCCCCGAGCTTGGCCCGGAGGTGCACCAGCGGCTGGAGTACGTGCCCTCCAGCGCCTCGCGCGAGGTGCGCCACGGCTCGGACCCTGCCTTCAAGCCTGGTCCTGGTGGCCTGGAACCCGGCGGGGCCCTGCGCCCCAACCTGGGCCAGCGTTTCCCATGCCAGGCGGTGGCGAGGCAAGGCCCAGACGCTGCTCCAGAGGCAGAGCCCGAGCGCAGGCCCGGGCCAGAGGGGCGAGCGGGGCTGCGGCACTGGCGCCTCGCCTCTTACCTCAGCGGGTGCCACGAGGATGTGGGTGAGGAGGGCCTGCCCACACCCATGGACGCTGACGTCTACGAAGATGACGTGCTGGCTCCTGGGGGCCGGGCGGCCTTCCGTGTCCCTGCTACCTTGCCAGTCAAGGGCCTGTTGCCAGGCCCGGGAAGCGGTGGCGGCGACAGCTCGGAGCGCGAGGGCTCGGAGGAGGCAGGCCTGGTCAGGCAGGACTCGTTCCGCTCACGCCTAAACCCACTCATCCAGCGCAGCTCCAGGCTACGCTCCTCACTTATCTTCGCGCAGGCTGAAGGCTCTGGAGGTGCCACAACTGCCACCACTGAGAAGGTGCAGTTGCTGCACAAGGAACAAACGGTCAACGAGACGTTGGGTCCCAGTGGAGAGGCCATGCGCTCCACCGCCTCTGCTAAAGTGGCCGAGCTGCTGGAGAAATACAAGGGTCCAGCCCGTGACCCAAGCGCGGGGGGAGGTGCGGTCACTGTCTCCAGCCACAGCAAGGCTGTCGTGTCCCAAGCTTGGCGGGAAGAGGTGACCGCACCCGGCGCAGCAGGGGGCGAGCACCGCAGCCTGGAGAGCTGCTTGCTTGACTTGCGTGATTCCTTTGCCCAAAGGCTACACCAGGAGGCGGAGCGGCAGCCGGGAGCCGCCTCCCTCACGGCTGCTCAACTTCTTGACACGCTGGGCCGCAGTGGCACTGACCGCCTGCCCTCCCGCTTCCTCTCTGCCCAGGGCCGCTCCACCTCCCCGCAGGGGCGGGACAGCCCCCCGCCAGAAGTGCCTGCTGCACACCAGGTGCCCCTTTCTGAGCCCAAAGGGAGCCCCACCTCAGCCTACCCAGAGCGGAAGGGGAGCCCCACGCCAGGGTTATCCAATCGGAGAGGCAGCCCAACTACAGGATTTATTGAACAGAAGGGCAGCCCCACCTCGACCTACCCAGAACGCAGAGGTAGCCTGGTACCCCCTGTGCCTGAGCGCAGGGGCAGCCCGGTACCCCCTGTGCCTGAGCGCAGGGGCAGTCTCACCCTCGCCTCATCCAGTGAGTCTCCTAAGGTTGGGCCCACAGAGGAGGTGGCTGGAGGCCCCATGGAAGTCCTGCGCAAAGGCTCCCTCCGCCTCAGGCAGCTGCTGAGCCCCAAGAATGAGCGTCACGGGGAGGATGAGGGCAACTTCCCAGTGCCACAGGAGAATGGGCAGCCAGAGAGTCCCCGGCGACCATCTTTGGGCCGAGGTGATAGTACAGAGGCTACTGCAGGGGATGAGCGGGGCCCAAGGGCACGGCTATCCTCTGCCACGGCCAATGCCTTATACAGCAGCAACCTACGAGATGACACTAAGGCCATCCTGGAGCAGATCAGCGCCCATGGTCAGAAGCATCGTGGGGTTCCAGGCCCAGGCCCAGCCCACAGCAGCCCCGAGCTGGGCCACTCACCAGCTCCTGGAGGCCTGGCCCCAGACATGTCCGACAAGGACAAATGTTCAGCCATCTTCCGGTCAGACAGTCTGGGTACGCAAGGCCGGCTGAGCCGCACCCTACCTGCCAGCGCAGAGGACCGCGACCGCCTACTGCGCCGCATGGAAAGCATGCGCAAGGAGAAGCGCGTCTACAGCCGCTTTGAGGTCTTCTGTAAAAAGGAAGAGGCTGGTGGTTCTGGGGCAGGGGATGGCCTGGCGGAGGAGGATGCCAGGGACAGCAAGGTGGGCAAGTTCGTGCCCAAGATCCTGGGTACACTCAAGGGCAAGAAGTGAGTGTCCTGGTCCACCAGCCCAGGCCAAGGTGCTTCCTCACTGCCACCCTGCATCTGCTGGGCAGGGAGCTCCGTGTCCGCGTGTTTGAGTGGCAGCCACCATCCCTCATTCCAGAGCAGCCAAGGGGCCGGACTGGACCCACCAGAGCTCAGCTTCAGTGGGTTTCCCTGGCAGCTGCCCTGCCCTGGCCCTGGCCTGTCCTCCCAGGGTTTCAGTCCGCGGCCTGGTACCTTTTCTCACCAACCCTTGCTCCTCTGCCCCCTTCTCTCCTGCTGCTTCCATTTCCCTGGGCTCAGATCCCCTCTGGACCTTCACTCACCTCAGGGACCCTTCTCTCTGTGCCTCAGTCCTGCTTGCAGGGACCCAACACTTGTGCCTCAGTCTCCCCAGCTCTAGGGGTCTTTTGTCTCCTCAGGGATTCCGTTTTCAGGGCTCTCTTCTCAGACCTGTGGTTCTGCTGCCAGCCGCTCCACCCTGCCTCCTCGCCCCTGTCCTTCACTGGCTCCCTCTCTCCTCCTGGTGCCGGTCCTCTTGTGGGGAAGGAAGGAAGAGTGTGGTTGGACCCAAAGGAAGCTTTTCTTGGGAGGCACAGGGCAGGCCTCTGAGAAGGAGGGATGAAGGGGACCCCAGAGGGGCTGCCCTGCTGCCCAGACTGCAGCTGCCTCAGCCAAGTCTGCCCCTCGCACAGTCAAGTCCTGGGTGGCCAGGGGGAGACACCAGGAGGCGAGTCCTGGGCTCTGCAGCATAATAAAATGGAGTCTGGACTGACACCCTGAAGCCAAGTCTGATTAAGTGGCTCCCAGACAAGTGCCACACCCCAGAAGGGTGGGATGTGGCACACTTGTCCCTGAGCTCTGGCCACCTTCCCCAGGGCAGAGGTCCTGGGAATCCCTGCAGGTGGGGTGACCCTTGCCCTGCAGGTGCCCAGAAGACCCTAGCTCCACCTTGCCCTTGATCCTTTCCTGTTTCATCACCAACATGCAAAATCTGTCAAAGACACTCCTGGTTTACCATTCTTATGTCTTTTTCCGTCTCCGTTAATTTTTGGGGGGAGGAGGGGGTACCAGGGATTGAACCCAGGGGCACTTTAGCACTGAGCTACATCCAGCCCTTTTTAATTTTATTTTGAGACAGGATCTTGCTAAGTTGCTGAGGCTGGCTTTGAGTTCGGGATCCTCCTCCCTCAACCTCTTGAGCCACTGGGATTACAGGCATGTGCCACCAAGCCCAACTCCACTAAATCATTTTAATTGATTGGGAATGACATGTTTTGTCACCAAATGCTTAGAAAGGCCCTGCTAGTGGGGGCTTATGTTGTGAAAGGTGCTTCTGTGTTCTGTTATTTCTTTTCAGATAAATTTTAAATTAAAACAAATCTAAGTCCCAGTAGGGAAAGGGTATGAGAAACAGGACAGTAAGTGAAGGGGATGGTTCTGCCTTAGGCAGCTGGAGGAGGGAGACCCGTGTGACTTGGCAGACCACTCACTGCTTGGGTCCCAGAGCCACTGCTCAGGAAGGATGACCGCAGGGACTTCAGGTCAGGAGGAGGAGGCCTCTTGGGAGCCAGGAGAGCTCAAGCCTTTCATGGCCTTGTGCTTGCTGTCCGGCTTCTGCTGGTGGCCAGGTCTCCTAGTGTGCCACTGTTCAGAGTGGACAGGCTCTCCCCTGAAGGAGAGGAACCGCTGCACTCTCTATATCTTGACAAATTAGACACTGGAACTTGCTGTTGCACATTCTGACATTAACAAAAACAATGCCCCCCCCCCCAACACACTGCAACCACTAGCCTTAGGGCCTTCCCCTGTGGACCTGCCCCTCCTTCCCTGCCAGGAGCACTCAAGACCACACCTCTGAGTCTCTGCAGAGCCTCTCCACGTCTTCCATCGGCCCTCCCCACCTCACCTGAGCCCTCTAGGCACTCTGGGAGCACTCACCTGGGGTTCCCTGGTCACCAGCCCCAGGGGCCACCCCCCAGCCCTACCTTGCAGCTCCTGTCCTGAGCTATTCCTGCTCTGCTGCCAGCTCCCTGCCCACAGGACTGCCGCAGCCTGCTCTTCTCCCTTTGGGGCTATGCCCGAGGCTCTGGAAACACCCCTGCCTCCAGCAGCCCACTCAAGCCACCAGCCACTTGGCTCCATGATGGGCCTCCTGTCTGCCTAGGTACAAACCACCCTGTGACTGCAACTCTGAGCCACAAAGAGAAAGTGGTGTCCCTTTCCCGCCCTAAAACCTTGCTGGTGACTGCAGCAAGGTGCAGGTGGTTTGTACCTAGGCAGGTTTCTCTGCTTTCCCAACCTTGCAGCCCAGGCCAGTGTCCCCTGCCCCTGCCCAAGCCTGGTCCTTCCTGCCCATTTTCCTTCACAGAGCCAGTCACTTCAGATGTGAGCTCTGCCAGCAACACATGGGGAAGTGGCCTTCCTGTGTTCTCCAGCCAGCCCAGGGTCAGGTGGACGTGCAGCGCCCAGGACACCCACTGGCCACTTCAGTCTCTTCAGCCCTCACACTGCTGGCCTGGACTCATACCAGGTTCTTTGGCAGTGACTAGAGGAAGTAGCCTTGAGCCCAACAAGACATATCCACCTCCTACCAAGACCTGGACACACACCAGGGGCCACCGTGTGTGGTGCACAGGCTGCAGTCACCAGCAAGGTTTTAGGGCGGGAAAGGGACACCACTTTCCCTTTGTGGCTCAGAGTCGCAGTCATAGGGTGGTTTGTACCTAGGCAGACAATTGAGTTCACAAATCCCTGAGCCACGGGGCCATCCTGGGGGCAGCCTGGGCCTTGTAGCAGGGTCTGGGCTCTGACGGTGCTCAGAGAGAAAGGCAAGCGGCAGGCACCAGGGCACCTAAGACCATGGGCCAGAAGCTGGTTCCAGGTCACCCTCCCGGCCAGTCTTGGGTGGCCCTGGTCTAGAGGGAAGCCCTGGGTGGGGTGCTCTTGGACGGGAGCTGCAGGGTGACAGAGTACCAGGAGGGGCAGTCCTGGACGTGCGGTGGAGGTTTCAAGATAGGGAGAGTCGGTCCTCGGAAGAAGGTGGGCTCCAAGAAAGGGCTGGGACATGTCCGCTGGGGGTGTGGCCCAGGAAGGAACCCCACACCAGAGTGGGCTGACATAGAGGGCTTTATTCAAAACAGTCATCAGGTTTGGGGAGACCGTGTCTGCTCCCCCAGAGAGGCCTAGGGGAGCTCCCAGAACTCAAATGCAGCCCAGCAAAGGAAGGAGGAAGAGCGCTGTGTTGTGGCAGGGCGGCGAGGCACGTGGGCCCCTCACGCGTGAGGTCCAGGAAGCAAGGGCAGGTGGTCCAGCGCTGAGCGGCACACTGTCCCATAAGCCTGGGAGTAGCCCCCAAGCGCAGCCCTGGCAGCTCCCTGCGCCCCCTGCCAGGCTGAGGTGCCAAACATCCTGCGGCCTGGCCGGGGTTCCGGAACCTCCCAGGTGGGCCGGGGTGAGACCTGCACACGGGGAGGGTCATTATCAGACGAAAGGGGCACGAGTGGGCACACAGGCTTCTGGGAGAGACTGCCAGGCTCACCTGTCGCCCACCAGCTGCCCTCAGCCCACCATTCAGGGGCCAGTCACGGCGGATCAGGGCCTGGTTGGTGGCCTGGGCTGCGGCCTGCAAGGTCAGGGAGGGTGCCATGCCTCTCAAGCTACTGATCTGGGAAGGCGCATGTCACAAGATCACTAAAAGGCACAGTGGGAGGCTCCTGCCATGCCCACACGCCATGACTTACCCCTGGAGGTGTACAGGGGGGCTCTGCCTTAGTCCTAGGGGACCTTTCCCACCTTCCTGGGGGCAGAGGTTGGGGCTGGGGTGCCAAGCTCGGTCTAGGAATGTTCCTGGTCGCACCAGAGGCTTCTGTGGGGTTGGAGATCAACCCTCAGAGTTAGATCCCCTCTGCACCTTGGTGGCCCCACACAGCAGGACCAGGGGTCGTCTTCCACATGGGAGGTGGACAAAGTTCACACACCCTGCTCAGGGTCACCATCAGGGCTACTCTGAGGCCTGGAACCAGGGTTCCTCACAGGCATCCGGGACGCGATCTGGGGGATGGCTCTGTGATGGAACAGGTGTCCCTGAGCCCAGGAGGCCCTGGCCTCTGGCCCCAAGGCCGTGCTCCCCAAGATCCCCTCTCTTGGCCCACGGCTGTTGCCCCTTCTCTCCAGGATCATCTGCGGAAGGGGAGGGTGTTCAGAGGTGCGAGGTGTGGGCATGGGGGAGCACTAGTTGTCCCTGAGTCAGGAGGACTCCAGGGTGCACAGGGAGAGGGGCAGTGGAGGCGGAGGCCCGAGCACCTGGTAGAGGCGGCTGCGATACTCGGAGGCAGACAGCTGGTCTCTTTCCAGCACCGGGAGCCACACTTCCGTCTCACGTGTCCACTCACGGCTGGGGCCGTGGAACCTTCGGGTCAGAGAAAGGTGAGACCTGGACTGCAGAGCCAGAGCCCAGAGCCCCTCAGGCTCCCCTCCCCCTCAGCGGGGGGCTGGCCCTGGGCCCCAGGGCTCCTTCCCACCCTCCTACCTGCGCACGTAGGGGTGCTGCAGGGCCTGGGCTGCGCTGAGCCGCTTGCTGGGGGCAAACACCAGAAGTTTCCTGAGCAGGTCCAGGGCATCTCGGGGGGTGCCTGGTGGCAGGATGTCATCCAGCGACTGCTGTGGCCTGCGGGCAGTTGCCTGTCATCTCTTCTCCAGGGCCCCCCAGGGCCCCCTCCCCAGATCTGTCTGTGCCAGACCTGCAGGCAGTGGGGAGAGACCCCTGCCTCACCTTTCAGTCTCCTCTGCAGGCCTCCCGTGGGGAACCCTTGGGGCTCTCCCCACAGAACCCTCATCTGGCAGAGCTACGGCAATGCTGGGGTCTCCTCACTCTTACCCTGGCCCCAACAGGCACAAACGGGCCCTGGTGCCAGGCACAGGAAGCTAGCTTGCTCCTGAGCCAGCCTCCCTGCCCCACAGCTGAGCACCCCACTCACCGGGATCCCAGGAGGTGCAGCAAGGTGCAGCTGTAGCCTGCGCCGAGAGCCCGGAGGTCTGTGGGGGGTGATGGTGGAAGGAGGTGTGACCAGGTGTGGCTGTGGGGGTGGGACAGCTCAGGGCGTTCTGGGGCCAGCCATCTCTTCTGATGCCAAGGACTGCAGCCTCTTCAGGGCTTCTGACATCTGGTGGGGCTCCACCCCACCAAAAGCTAGGCATGTGCCCCCATGAGCCCCCTCTGAGCTGATGGGTGCCCACAGGTACACCTGCCCTACACCCTCACACCCCAGCCCAGTGACGGCCTCCTGGACCAACCCTTGCGGTCTCTCCGCTGCACAGCAGAGGTCTGGGAGCAAGCAGGCTCTCCCCTGGGTTCTGGGAGTAATTCCCCTGCCACAGCCTCACCCCTACAACAGCCTCCCCTCTTCTCTCTGCACCCCCTGCCCTGCTTGGCTCTGTGCCCATGCTGCACCCGGCACGGGAGTGCTCAGCCCTGCACCCCATATCCCTCAGCAGGGTGAGGACCTTGCCCCCACCTGGCTGGCCCCTTCGCGTGGCCACTCGGTCCTGTGGCCAGTCCTGCCTCCTTCGCCATCTGCAGTCTCCCCGCCCTGGCAGCTGCTTTCTGGGCCCTCCGTTACCCAGGGCCTGCCCTTTCCAGTCTTCCCAGGGCTCCTACTCCGGACCCTCTTCCCTGCACAGTCCTGGCCGGTCGAGCACTGTCTCCCCACAGCTGCACTCTCGGGCCCTCCGCCTCTGGGTGCCCAGTCGGACCCCCCATGCTCACCCTCCTGAGTCGGCGGCGGGATGGTCTCCAGGATCAGCTCCAGCTGATGCACAGTGGAGGTGCCCGGGAACAGGGGCTGCCCTCTCAGCATCTCTCCCAGGATGCAGCCCAGGCTCCACATGTCCACCCCAAGGGTGTACCTGGGCAGGAAGGGGTGTGGGCAAGGGGAGCTCAGAGGCAGAGGTGAAGGTACAGGGGCTTGGAGGTGAGGTGCGGACAAGTAGGTGGGCCCAGGTGTAAGAAGGCCTGGGGGTCCCCATCAGAACAGGAGGGCAGGCCGGGGGAACTGGGGGAGAGGGTGGGGTGGGTCCGAGGTATCTCACTGTTACCAGGGCGAGGACAGCAGCACCTCTGGAGCGCGATACCAGCGAGTGGCCACATACTCGGTCAGGGCCCCGCCCTCAGGCCCCTCGGGCAGGTTGCTCAAGGAGCGAGCCAGGCCAAAGTCGCAGAGCTTCACCCGGCAGTTGGCATCCAGCAGCACGTTGGATGGCTGGAGAGACAGGTGGTCTGAGGGCCGAGAGGGCCAGGGGTGCACCCGGGTGGGAGCTGGGGCCGCGTGGTGGCAGCTTGGGCTCAACCTTCTGATCCCGGTGGATGACGTGGCCTGAGTGCAGGAACCTGGTGGCCTGAAGGAGCTGGTAGAAGATGAAGCGCTTGTGGGTGTCCTCCAGCACGCTGCCCTTCCGGATGACAGCATTCAGGTCAGTGTCTGGGGGGGCAGCAAGGATGTGCAGGTCAGTCAGGGCCAGCAGAACTCGCTGTGCCACTTAACCCTGCCTGGTCCTTGGTGCTTCTACGTCCTGCTCACTGTTTGCACAGCGGTAAGGGCTTGAGGAATCATCTCTGCACTTCATTTCATGTTGCCCTGGTTTTATAAAACGAGTGGAAAATTTTAAAAGTAGCTCCAAACAAAGCAGGACGGTGCGGGGGGTGGGGACAGGAGCTCCCCACCGGGCTCTGGTGGTTCCTCAGGTTCAGGACACAGAATGTGAGTGCTGGCCACAACAGGGACTTGGGCAGCAGAGGGACACAGGCAGTCCTAGGATCAGGACAGAGTGGGGCAGGAGCTGACCACAGCCTCGCTCACCCATAAACTCAAACACCAAGTAAATGTCCCTGTCGTTCTCTGCCGGGATCACATCCAGGAGGCGGATGACGTTGGGGTGGTCTCCAAACTCCTGTGGAGAGTCATTTCAGGCCAGGGACTTGCGCTGGGAGTGACGGGGCCAGTTCCCCTCTTTTCTGGGAAGAACTGCCCCTGGGTAAGGGAAGTAGGCCCCACAGCCTTGCCACTCACCCGGAGGAGCATGATTTCCCGGAATGTTCTCTGGAAGAGACAGAGATACCCAAAGGGACTGTTTATCACCCAAACACCCCCTGCGCCAGAAACACCGGGGCCCCAAACCTTCCGACAGCCCCAGTACCACTCATGCTTCCAGACACCCCCCACTCACCTGGGCATCTGTCTTATCTCTAAAGGCATCGAA